CACACTTGGTGCTGGGGTAGAAAACATCTGATTGAGACTTGCCTGGCTGATTTCGTCTTTCCGACCGAAACGTTCATATAGCGTCTTCAGTGCTTGCTCGTACAGCGATCCATCAAACAAAAGCCCTTCAATGGCTTGGTGGGCAGGGCCCTCAACTGCTTGCTGCAGATGAGTCATCCGCTCTGCATTCGTCAGCGATGTCTGATTGTGGACCAGCACTTTAAAGAGGCTGATCCATCGAGGCCAGTCAGCGGGATCCCCTCGATAGGTGTGGAGGCTGAGGCTCGGTACACTCTTGGAGAACGCTGTTGACTGACTCGAGCGTGCTTGCTCTTGAGAAACATCTGGAATCATCCAGGTACTGGGATCTAGGGTTGTGGTTGCACTTCCAGCTGAGGCCCCAAGTGGTGCCCCAGTCGCAGCTTGATCGGCTGTCGTCGGCTGCACGGCGTCGTTCACAGCGCAGTCTTCGTTTGCCAAATGGTGTGTGGCAGCGGTGTGACCTTCCTGCCGCTCGTCCCTCTGTTGATCACGCTGACAGTGCATGCCGCAGTTACCCATGGATGTCGCAGTGCCCTCACAGACACCTTCACGTGTTGGCTTTGCTTCTTCTCCCATCCCAGCGACAGCTTCGTCAAAGTCATGACGACGATCCCAATTCAGGTCATCTTCAGCAGCGCGATAGAGACGGACCTTTCTTGCTGCTCGATTTCGAGTCTCTTCAGCTATCTTCAGCTGAAGTGCACTGTCGCGCTCTTGAAGCTCCCACTCTTCTCGTTGTCGGAGATTCTCCATTTCGAGCTGAGCTTCACGTTGGCGTTTCTCCGCCCTTTGCCTCTCCATCATGTTACGGCGACTTTCTTCTACCTGGGCCCTGACGTCTTGTAGCTTGCGATCCGCATCCTCCAATTCTACGGCGACCACTCTTGATCGGACTGAAGCGGCCGTCCCTGCTGACGTATGTGACTTGGCGTGACTCGGCCCACGGCGGGAAGTGGTAGCTGATGAACGAACTTCGTCCAGCTCTTGGAGATATTGTTGAATCTTGCCCTGGATGGCTAGCTCTTCTTCTTCGAAATGATCGGCATATGCTTGAGCTTCTTCAATCTCTTCGTCTCCCAGCTTGCTTTCATATGTCTGATGAGTCTTTCGCAAATCGGCAAATGCTTCTTCTAGTCTTGCGCTGACCTGATGGATGCGGTCACGATTAGCATGTCTTGTTATCTCTACTTCTACTGCTTTGCTGGCCCTTGTCGTAGCAGCCCTCTTGCATCCACGCAGTCGGCGCAGGTCAGCAAGCTCCTGATCCTTGGCGGCACGCTGAGCTTCAGCCATTGTAGGATCGACTGCTTGAGTTTCACAACTGTATTCTGCATCCATTCAGCAGTTGCGATGGGATCTCCGGTTGAGATCCGGCCCGTGGAGGACCAGAAAATGTCGCCACGCCGTCCTCTGGTCTGTAGTTGCGTACAGCGACACTTGATTTGACTGACTGGCTGTGGTGCAGGGTGAGGAGAAAGTGGATTTTGGTAGAGGATGGGAGGGAATGCGGTAGCCGCCGAGTGACCACAGCCCCTCGATGGCGAGGCTGCTGTGGTCAGACGGATCTGAGATGCTCCGGGATCTCGATGGCGAGATTGACCGAAACCGACTGGCCGCCCCAGGAACGAGGAGGCCACGAGTGTTGTATCCCGATGGCAAGACACTTCACTCGCGGTCAGCTTCGGTGACTCGATGGCGAGACACCGCAGCCGCCTCCCTCCGCACCCTCAATGAGAAAAAGAGAGAGAAAGTAGTGGGCCCCAGGACAAAAAGACAGGTATCAGGAGCAGCCACGATTAGCACTGCTCGCACCGTCTTCCGCCACTTATGTCACCGCCCACCACACAAAGATGCACTTAGTAGGACGCTGTATTTGTTCTTACCGTCCTCACCGCACGAGTCACAGACAGAGAGTGGGTCGGCGCAGCGAGCACCGGCCCCAGGTCACCTCGTTCCTCCCTCGCGGCACACGCCGGCGGCGGCCAATCACGACAGCGGGCCCTCACGTGACCCGAGCCGGGCCTCGCCTCGAGCGGGACCACCGGACGCACGTGGCCACCACATGGCTCGGCCGTAACCGGGCGGAGAGCGGCCGTCGGCCACTACACCATATTTGCGACATAAACGACCCTTTCCAAACATGTGAGGAGACGGCAAATTAAAAGGCCAAGTCTGTTGTGTGTATGCTCGAGGTCTGCAAGACTCGACTCCGATGTTGCACGGTCCCACAAGCAAATGTGCTTTGTCACGCCCTGTCGCTCCGTCCCCAGTTAGAGCCCCCTCTCTCCTTCCAGCTCTTAGATCCATGCAGTGGAGGCCAGTGGAGTCAGTCGAGCTCAGAGTGACCAGACCACCGGGTCCCGGTCCCAGTGCCCAGAACGGTTCCGGTCCCAGTGCCCAGAACGGCCCCCGCGGACGGACCGTGAGCCCAGCCGTCGCCGTCGCCCGCTATTGGCGCCGGGGGCGAGCCGAGACGGCCGCTCGGACGGACCAAGGGCCGGTCGACGGGGCTCTGTATAATGTCAGAGGGCCGCCGGAACAAAGGCTGTGCTGGACGGACGGAGCGTGCGCGGCATTGCCGCCATGTCGGTGGGGTGCGCGGACGACAGTCGCCCTGCGGGGGCGGGTGGCGTAATGAGGCCCACGACAGGCCAGCCCGGGACAAATGACTCATTACGGGAGGCTGCAGAGTTAATCAGTGGCCATGGGTGAGACGAACAGGAGCGATCGAGAGACTTACTAGCCACTAGGGTCGAAAGTGGTATGTTTTTAAATACTAGAGACGTTGGAGGAGAATGCTTCCAAACGCTAACTGAGAGTGCAGGGAAGAGAGCAGTAACATTTGATTGATGCTCATGCTGTAATGTGACTCAGTTTGCTGACCATTCTGACTTTCCTTGTTTGCCCTCAGATTGACCTGCGTCACATCAACCAGTCAGCCGAGTCAAACCACGTTCAGCTGGGGATCGACCTGAAGGAGTACTACCCCAGTGTCGAGTGGGACATTCTCGAGGTGCCCGCCACCAGAAACGAGAAGTTCTACCCGTGCTGCACCGACCCATTTCCAGGCATGTTGCGCTGTTTTGATACATGAGCTCCTTAAGTCTATGTGGAGAAGTGCTGCTGTGTCTAGCGCAGAGCCAAAATGCTGAGGTTTGCGCTTTAGTGCAAATGTTGATATGCACATCAGGCTTACTATAGCGCACATTTTATAGGTATGTAGTTCCAGCACGAGCCATGGACATTAGGGATGGGACGGCCGGTTGATGGCGTCTCGGGTGATAGCCCTGATGACGTCCGGGCTATTTTGTCGCCACAATCCCGCTGGGTCATTATCCCGCGACCGTCACGCTGTGGGCGTGGCCGCCGGCAGGGGGCGTGGCGACCAGCCGTCACCTCCTGAATGCTGCCGTCCCCGGAAAGAAACGCGCCTCATCCATCAGCGCTCTCTCATTTCCGACAACACACCAGCTGGCTCCATCGTCAGCCATTACTTGCTGGAAAACAATACTTGAGCTATCGCGCCCGGCAGAGCATTCTGATTCTCCGGTAGCCCAGTCATGTCTGGGAATAGTGACTTAGGAAATATGCTGCGCAGCAAAGCTCAGCCAACTAGCAGACAAATGTGCAGATTGCACCTTTGATCTTACAAATGCGATCCGAGGCATTCTCGCTATTTCACCTGGCTTTATTGATCGCTCGTATCCAATGTTGCCCGCGCGCGTCAGACTTGGATGCCAGGCGTTAATGTCAGACATTGGACGCATCTGGTGACGCCGCTTGTGTTCAGGTGTCCCAACACAGGTGTGTTCTGAGTGACAGCCAGGGTAGCGGACATTAGGGGAGATCCGTGTAAGACGCCCAGGGTCGGTAAGAGGCCCCATCGCTTTTTTTACCAAACCAATAATGTTATTTATTTTTTAATGTTCTTGTAAAGCAGAAGCCCTCTTGAAACAACAACTCACGAAACCTGAGGTATCAGGTGCGTCGCAGCGACTTTTGGTAAGCCTGTTTCTGTTTTTGCCCCTTTACTTGCTAGATATATGCATCTTTATCACCCTTATATATCTGAAAAAACAATGGCTATCAAATGCAATCTTATCTCATCGAAATTGTCACATGTTAGCTTCAGAATAGACCATGTTCTGGTGCGCTGCAAATGTCTCATAAACCATAAATATTGTGACGTTAAAACACTGCATTTTTTTAAGAGGCCCTCCCTTCGAGGATGATAAAACGCCCCCCGATAAAAAACGCCCCCGATGCTAAAACGCCTGCACCTGCGGCAGGCGTGGCATTCTTTTTTCAAGGTGTTTGTTTTTGTTTCTTTTTTTCTGTTTCCTTTCTTAGAGGTAATAGGTACAATTTTCGTTGGTCATCAGCGTTTGGTTGTGCTAGTTTTCGCATTGTTCGAGCGCTTTGGAAGTGTTATTGGTTTCGATAACACCGTATTTGCTTAGTTTTTCGAAATAAAAGGCCTTGCAACTGTGTTCGCAAAGCGTCTTTTACAAGTCGACTTGACTTGTAAAACGCCCGAGGGGGGGGGGGCGTCTTACCATACCCATAGTGTAAGAGGCCCTTTTGCAACTTTTTCCAAAATGTTAAAGTTTACGGTTTGTGTACCCCCTAGATTCATTTTGAATGCAAATATGTATGGGAAAATGATGCATGCTCACAGCGCATGCACATGTTAGCTCTTAAATATTATCAGTTGTCTAAGAATAGCAACTGAGCTTAAGGGGGGGCCTCCTGCACCACTCTCCCCTATCACAGATGTCGTGTGAGCCAAAATGGAGCTCACGGACCTGTCTCTCTAGTCTCTGAAGCGTTAGAGAACACAGGCATCATTATGATAGATGGCCTACTTTCAGGGAAAAGTGTCAGAATTTCACTGAGAACATAGACGCAATTAGCATCAGTCATTCACACGCAGTTTCTCCGTTATGTTGCAGATATCTACTTCAACATGACACTGCGAAGGAAGACGCTGTTTTACACGGTGAACCTCATCATTCCGTGCGTGGGCCTGTCCTACCTCTCCGTCCTGGTGTTCTACCTGCCGGCCGACTCTGGGGAGAAGGTGGCCCTCTGTATCACCATCCTCCTCTCCCAGACCATGTTCTTCCTGCTCATCTCCGAGATCATGCCGTCCACATCCCTAGCCGTACCACTGCTCGGCAAATACCTCCTCTTCACGATGATACTGGTCAGCATCTCTGTCATCTCCACCATCGTCATCCTGAACATCCACTACCGGAAGCCGTCCACGCACCGGATGGCTCCCTGGGTGCGGCGCTTCTTCATCCACCGGTTGCCTCCGCTGGTGATGATGAAGGTGCCGGACTCGTCGCCGCCAAACTCGGCGTTCGACGAGAAGCCGGCCGGCACCAGTAGGAGCGGCTTCTCCAGCGCCTCCTCCGGCATGGACGAGGGAGCGCGACTGCGGGCGCTCAACTCGTTCGACGACGACAGGCGGTATCCGTACGAGATTGAGCGGGCGATACAGAACGTCAAGTTTGTACACCATTGCTGGAAGATCCAGGATCAGTATGATGAGGTGAGTGAGAGACACAAGGGTGATGGCGATGCTTCGGATTCTATCTGTTTTATACGCTTTTCTCAGGAAAAGACGTGTATTTGGATGTTTTATCAAAATTTTCATGCAAAAAACTTCGTTGTATCAATATTTTTTACTCCTTTTTTGACAATGTTAGTTGTGACCACTACAGTTCGGAAAAACGCGCACCATTCAATATTGCAATCGCTGCTCCGACCGAGCAGCGAACCGTACCAAGTTCTGTCCGCCATAGCGACACCAAGCTTCTGTCCCTCCAGCAGATGCTTCATGTTCTCCATCAAGGAAAATCTTGCTGACATGAGGGCTGAGTCGTCCACTGGGCTGTGTTCTGTGGCGTGGCAGAATGCCACATTTCCTTGAAATGAATGGCTCATAGAGGCTGCCATGAAACTGCGCTATTTCACAGAAGAGCGATCGACCCTGCCGCCGCACCAACAGTAACTTTTACTAGACGTTCGGACCACCATTAACCAAAACTTCACTATTACGGTGCACATCGAGTATGAAACACAGAACAGTGATCCAGATAACGTCTGGCACTAAAATCTTGGTACGATTGGCTTATCCCAAATATTAGGATGAATGCCCGAAGAACAATATTCACAAAGCTGGTCGCTGGACTTCATATAGGTACTTCATATAGGTTATTAATGACGTTGTAAGTCCACCAGATAGCAATAAAGGATGTGTGCGGCTCTGAAAGCAAACTTTACAGTCACATTATCTTTTCAAATCAAATCCAATATTTCCTCAATCTTTTTACACTTTGCCCCAAGCAGTGTCCTTTTTCTCGATACCGGCGAGGGATTCGGTTGTCTATTTTTCTCGTCGATCCCAGTCGGTTGTTTACCACCAGAACTGCACGGCCGGACGCCATTGCCACATACCATTTATCTACCCTCTCTCCCCTTCCCTCTCTTTCCCTCTCCTCCTCCCTCTTCCTTCCGCGAACCGTCATTACCAACGATCAATGGCCACGCTCAATGACCGTCAGTGCCCGGATAGGGGCGTTCAATTTGTCGGCCGTGACGGTTGCCGAATGACTCTCCGCCAATCGAAATCGAGCGGTCCTCCCGTGAGACGCCGCCCGGGATATTGACCGGAAAAGGGCGAGTTTTCTAGCCGCCCCGCGCAACAGAGCGAGCTGAGGGGTGGGGGTGGGTGGTAGGAGACCCATGGTGCAGTGGTGCAGTCACCTTCGGGCGAAAGCTGGTGCTGCGAAAGCCGAAAGCCGGAGAGCTTCGGCTTATAAGCTCTCGGAAGATGTGGTAGCCCGATACCCCGATATGATTTTTTATTCTTATATGATTGAGGTGCTATTAAGCATTGTGTCTCTTCCTTTAGTACATCTATTGATAAACCGTTTACTTTTTTCAAAGCCACATGTGAGAGATAGAAACGTCCTTGCCGTGCCTGTTAGGGCCACTTAACATTTTCCCTGAATCAGCAATAAATCAGCCACCCTGTCCGAACTTTGGTCGTTATTCGCGTTCAACTGTTCACAATCGGTCAAGGCACCACCACCGTCGCCAATGTCTGCACCGTGCCAACTACCTGAGTAACTTCCGCCATCTCACATAAACTACGGTCAGAAGAACTATCAGCACCGAAATCACCCGTTACCACGAGCACCACTGGCACAACCACCACCAGAGGGAGAACCCAGGCACCCAGCATCACCACCACCACGACCACCAGCACCACCAGCACCAGCACCATCGTCATCCAGCGCCGTCGCTCCGTCACCACCGCTGCTCCTGCGTGGGGCGTGCAACAGCCGCCTATCGATCCCCCGGCCGCCCACCCAGCCGCCCTCCCTCCCGACCAGTCGTCCGTCCGAGCGCAATACCGACGGCCGCTCCGAGAGACGAGATCTGCTCCCGATCGCGACTTATCAGGCGAATGTAGTGTTTGAGTTTTGGACCCTTCATGACTCACGACGTCGACTCTGATTCAACACCGACTCCGACTCCTAATCAGCACTAAATTCGAATGTATACATAAGTTTTTGCCCTGGCCCCGAAGTTTTATTTTTACCTGAACCCATCTCCTAGAAGCGCTCATCACCCAACTCTAACTCCAAAATTTTACCTATGTAGCCTCCTTCCAACCATCCACGCAACACCGACTCTGCTTTTAACCCTAATCCACTAAACTAAACTAAACTTTTCCAGCTTTGATTCTGAATTCCACCTAATTCAGCTTCACTTCTGCTCTAAGTTTGAGCTCAAATTTTCGTCCCACTCCAACCTCCTCGCCACCGCCTTCGTCCAACTCAAAGTAGCACTCTGACCCTTCCCCTTTCCATGTAACAGGAGGACCAGGACTGGGCGTTCATAGCCACCGTGCTGGACCGGGTGCTGCTGCTGCTCTTCAGCGTCGTCTCGCTGCTCGGAACGTTCGTCATCTTGTGCGAGTCGCCGTTCCTCTATGACACTACGCCGGCCATCGACATTCAGCTCTCGGAGGTCGCGCACCAGATGGACATTTTCGGCGATACGTGAGCGCGTCTGGCGCCTGGGGGTGGGACTGGGGGGGGGGGGGATGCGTGTCGCCGGCCGCAGCACAGCGGGGTGCTGTGCGTCGACTGCCATGGTGCCGGTCAGCGTGCTGTTTTCGTCGCAGCCGGATCGTCGTGCGGACGATGGGCTTTGAACCTCGCCGATATTGGACGTTATGCCGTTGTTGGTGGTGGGGTGGGGTGGGGTGAGCGGGGGCGGGGGCGGCACAGTGATACGGAGCAGATGTATTATATAACGCAGACACCGCCCACAGAGAACTGAGGGGAGATGAGCGCTGCCGCTCGCTCCTTATTCGCCGCAAATGCCCACGCCGGGGCTCGTTATGTGTGTCTCTTATGTGCGCTTGAAGCGGCGTCCATGTGGCCAACGCCCTGTCCTCGGTCTCCCTCTGTTCTGTTTGCGGCGTTCTCCTGCCGTGTCGGCGCGGCGGATCCATGCGGTGGCGTGCCGCGGCACGACCGTGCGACAGCGCTGGGAACGCTCCCAGATAGGACAGGTGATTATTCAATACGCCACCGTCGTCCCCCAGGACACTGCCGCGCCGACAAAAAGGCACCGGAGAGGCAGCAGAGAGGCTCTCAGAGGCGGCTGGGGTCCGAAAAACAGTCCAGATATGCCGCCGGGACCGACGTAGTGTCTCTGAAAAACAGCGATGGCGCGCGGCAATGTAAAGAAGCCGACGACTTGTTGACTGTCTGAAATGAAATCTTTCGGTTCGGCGAGTTTTCAAGAAATTCTATTGCAGTACCAAATAAGCTAGCCGAATGTTTCAAGACTTTTCCTTAAGACAAAAGATGATTTGGCAAAGAAGTCAGGAGTCAGCAGGCTAACAAATGCAGAAGTATGCCAAATAATTCTAAAGACTAGAGAGAGAGATAAAGAGAGAGAGAGAGAGAGAGAGAGAGAGAGAGAGAGAGAGAGAGAGAGAGAGAGAGAGAGAGAGAGAGAGAGAGAGAGAGAGAGAGAGAGAGAGAGAGAGAGAGAGAGAGAGAGTCATGGACGCTATCTAACACTGGATTTAGAATGGAGTCGCAGATTAGGCCGGACCCGACTGCTCGGTTACGGTCCACCACTGTTCAGCATTTATGGATCAGTGACCGCCATCGAATGGAAATAGCCTTTCACTGGATTACGATGTTGCCATTTCGATTAAACTGGCGGCGCTATCTTCCATGACCTAAGCTTTTGGTACGTGCCAGCAAGCCTAAAGACTTGGTCAGAAATTGTGAAATTCCTAACAGAACAACGGAAATCCAAGGCATACTGAATGTTTGATTAAGGTGCTGGCTAGTAATTTTCTACTAAAAACTTCATTCGGTGAGCGCTTATTAAATACATTCATTTGCGTGTAAAACAAACTAAAGCGTTCTCCATTCGTCGAAGTTGTCAACTGCATCCGCTGCTAATATCCCAAAGGGCATCCTATGTCGGTCCCTGAGTCGGTCTTTGAGAGCAGCTCGGCTCAGGGACAGTTGTCGAACGTCGACCGGCAGGCCCCTGCGAGCGCGTGCTGTCGACCGGCCGTCGCTCGCTGCCGTCACTCTCGATCGGCCGCCAAGTTGGACACAAGTTGGCCGGGCCGAACAGTTGTCCGCTGACTAACTTAATGGCTGCAGAGCGAGCAGGAACCGGCGCGGCGCTCAGCCTGACACAGACGGAGCGGTTCTGTAGTGTTCAGCTGCTACCGGATCGCGCGAAATGGACCGGGAACTGGACACTCCCGCGAATACGAACAATTTGTGTAACGAATTTCCTGAGGCTTATCTTTGGAAGGAAACTCCTTTGACCTTTGTATTACAAACAAGTAAAATGCAGCTAAATCGTGTTTGCGCTACGTTTTGCAGTGGTCCAACTTTCAAGCTGAGTCTCAGCTAAAGCAGGTACTTGATTAAGCCTAAAATGCAATATTTTATCCAGCTTCGTACTCAAATATTCCTCTTTTGCTCAAAGCAAGGTTGCATATATTTGCTTCAAGTAACATGTATCGAGATAGACAAATGATATATTTTTTTCCATATAACGCCGACCTTTCATACATGTCACTCCCGGTGACAAATCTATCATTTTTTTTTCATATAACGCCGACTTTTCATACATGTCACTCCCGTTGCGGACCCGGCTGGCTGGCGGTCATGGCAGCCTATCAGCCGTGCGGTCGTTGGGCCGTTCAGTTGTCGCCACCAGGCGGCTGTCGAACCTGGGAGCTCATAAGCTGTCGGAGCTCTGCCGGAAGTGTCGGCTGGTCGAGACACCTGTCGAGCTCGGCGCGGCGGCGCTCCTCTCTGCCGTCTCTCGCCGCGCCGTCACCGCGGCTCCAATAGGGTGTCTGGAGTCGGCACCGGTCGGACGGCAGCGGCTCCGCGAGCGGCATGACTGATTGGGAGCTCTAAAAGCCTTGCGTCGCGAGCTGCCACCTTCAAAGGAGTCGATTCAATGCCAGAATACAGCCGGAGCTGCAAATCTGTCGAACTCGGATGGCTATCTGAAATTGCCATTACAAATCTAGTCAGCCTGCTGTGGATCTCCAGGGATGGAGAGCGCCATTTGTTGCGTCACCTTCCAATCTAAATGGCAATATAGCACGCAATTCAAACGATACACACATGACTGAGTCCATTAAAGTCTACTGACTTCCTGTCAATAAATAATAATCAATGCTCTATTTCACACTCGGTGGGTTCGCTGCTCCAGTTTAGCGCCCGCCCAGGTTGGTTAGCCATCTGCTCAGTATTACATATTGAAAGGCAATAATTACGGAGCGAGCGAAGCGAGCGGAGTCTTTCCTTAGATTAACGGAAATTTCTGAGTATGAGCGGCCGGCCGGCCGGCCGGCCGTGGTCACGCTTTTGCGAGGCTTATATCTCAGCAACCACTTGACCGATTTACACGCGGTAATTTTTGTCGGGTAGCTTCATTCCTTCTACCAAGTATTGGACTATTCCCGATGCATGTGGGTGACCCCTTATGCACGTGCCACGTGCAAAACGAAGAGGTGTCAGTTTTGTAATTGTTGCAATATCTCGGTAACTACTTGGCCGATTGCGCTGAAAGTTGGCATGTAGGTAGGCACCCACTAGGCACTGCATATCCATGTGCCAGAGTTGGGGTGCTGCTGCACGTGCGCACGTGCAGGGGTCGTTTCCAGATCTTGAGAACGGCTGGACCGATGGCGCTCAAATTTGGTACACGGTTTGGGACCAGTTAGTAGGGTGCCGTGCACAAGTCAGTTGGGACCCATTTTGCACGTGCGCACGTGCAGGGTGCCGCCCCCAGATCTCGAGAACGGCTGGGCCGATTGTGCTCAAATTTGGCACATCGCTAGAAACCGGTCAGTAGGGTGCCGTGCACAAGTCAGTTGGAGGTACCCCCTCGAAATTTCGCACGTGCAAGACTCACCCCCTCGCTCGCTCCGTTAGTCGCCCCAAAAGGCGCTATACTGGTTAGGCAGGTCGGCGCCACAATCGACTTCTGTCTGAAGCTGACTGCGTGTCCCGTCGCGGCGGCCGGCACATCGCTCATGACAAGTGTTCTCCACCTCGCGTGCGGGCAGGGAGGGGAGGGAAACAGAGGTCATTGACTGTTGTCCTCTGCCGTAGCGGGGACGGTTGACGGTGGTCGGTCAGATATGTGGCACGTGCTATGCATAACATATGTGGAATGAAGCAATGACTATGGTAGTTAAATATGAAAATGTATATGTTAAAAAAATGTAACGAATTCAAATGAGAATAGCCGATTTGATATTTTATGCTGAATGAAGTAATGCGCTAGGAATTTTACTATTCAGAGTCCCGACATGGATTTGATGTTGATGTAAGTAGCCAGCTTTCTTCGATAGAAAACGGCGGTGAATATTGACGCACGCTTCTGGCGATGTTCGACCAGGTGCCGTGCTGGCCACTACCTCAGCGTTGAGGTTGTTTCTACCGGTTTCTTACTTCGCCAAGCTGTTCATGAATCCTATGGGTGTTCTGTCGTTGACTTTGTGTGTTAATAAACTCGGATGTTGCTGTGTGAACGCTTCAGCATGGTGAATGGTTTGGCGTTGGATAATGGATGGTCGTAGCGATGCACCGCGCTCCCGTAAAACATTGGTCTATAGAGCCGGTAAAAGGCGCCATCAATTAAACTGGTTTCTGATACATGCGCTTATAGAAGAAGAATTCATGCATGAATGCTGTTGGTGATACATTGCGCCAACAGGCAACGGAAATTGTTTCTGGATACAGTTAGGCCGCTTTTCTTCACCAGGCGCTTCAGTAAAAATCGCACGACATTTTCACAGAATCTCTAGCATGGCTGCTCTTTATATAGATGGTCGCAATAAGCCGAACTCAAACGGCCAGCCAGCGACCGCTCAGGTTTACCACCGAGATTGTTTCACAAAGGCCGGCGGTCAGATTCGTTTAGGACCATCCAATATCGAAGGGTCCATGAAGGGCCCTGTGGCAAATCACGGTAAATCGCCGATAGGCGTCGAGTCGGTCCATTTTCTTCTCGGAGACCCCGATCGTTGTTCCGCTGGCACAGGCAGATATGGGTGCTCGCGCGCCAGGCACCGCCCATGGTGGACATTTGTCGCCACCATCGCGATTTGGGAGGCACTGCTGGCGAGATAAATTATGAGCGCATATTATTGACTGCGGAAAGCTGGTTGGCTGAAAGAGTTTAACGGATAACATATCGCCGCCTTTAAACGCAAATCACCACCAATGGATAACTTGTGCGCCTCATAAATTTGCAAAGCTCACAGGCAGCGCGTATTCGTGTTTTATATTTTAATGTCCATTATGGGCAGCTTCTAATTATCGTTCGGTTGAAGCTCGAGTCGAATTCATTGGACTTTAAGGCCACATGGCTTTAAAAAACAAACCATCTGGCAATGGTAGCAAATGCAATGATGCACAAAAATACCAACATTTTTGTGGTGCTTAGAATTTTCAAATATAGTTATTCCGTAAGTATTCCAACTCCGGGAAGCAAGGCGTAATATAGTTATTATTTATTACCGTGCATCGGCCCGTTACTGGGTGGACTGATTGTGGTGACCTCAGCACTTGCCGTTTATTATTCCGGTCACATCCTCTCCGTACCCAGAGATGTGGCCAGGTCAACGTCCGTCAATACGTGGTAACGTGATCAGACTGAGTGAGCGCAGCGATACTCGATACCCTGCGTACGAAAAGGTAGGGAAAAAATGTTATAATTTGGTATGGAGACGATAATGCATTGCATATCGGTTTCTCCGATTACCTACTACACTAAACACACCTTGCCTACTTTCTGTTGATAATTGAAATATTCTAAATTATTTTTAAAGCTATATGTAAGATTTATATCATCACCCCTCTCAGACCTATTGGTTTTCTACATACGCTGCGGCCGAGAGGGGAGGGGGGGGGGGGGGGGGGAGGGTACGATCTCCTCTTGCCGGTTCGCCTCTAATGGAGCTAAAGCGTCGCGGAAAAAAAACGAACATGTGCGCCGTTACGAGACGCAGCGATCGGTACCCGATTTGAAGGTCTCAAGCCAACCGGCGACCTCTGAGGTCAGGTCAAGTGGCCGAAGGTACAGGCTCGGTTTTTGTCGAATAACTTCGCAAAAATGATCGCAGAGACGCGATTTGACAGCATCGTGTTTGCCTTGCTCAGGCGAATCGAATGGTATACTTTTTGTTTGGGTGAAATCAACTTTAGGTGTTGACCTCGGGTCACGGTTCAGA